AAGGGGATTTGGGGTGGTTTAAGGGGGATTTGGGAATTTTAGGAGAATTTCGGGAATTTTGGGGAATTTTAGGGGGCAGATTTAGGATTTTGGGAGGGGGATTTTGGGTGGTTAAAGGGGAATTTTGGGGGGATTTTGGAGGGGGTTGGAGCGCTAAAGGGGATTTTTGGGGGGTTTGGGGTGGTTTCAGGGGGATTTGGGGGGGATTTGGGGATTTTGGGGTCACACACCTGGCGGGGGGTTTTCGGGGATGGCCGGCTGCACGCCCTCGATGCTGAGCCAGTGAGCTGGGGGGGAACCCCAAAATTGAGAAATCAGAATGGGATCACCCCAAAATTATCACCAGAAACCCCAAATCCACCCCCCACCCCAAATTCTCCCCGGAGATTTGAAAAGTCCCCATTCCATCCCCACAAATCCCAAAAAATCCCCCTTAAATCACCCCAAATCCCCCCAAAATCCCCCTTCAATCATCCCAAATCCTCCTTAAACCACCCCAAATCCCTTTCAAATCACCCCAAATTCCCCAAAACCCCCAAATCCTCCTTAAACTGCCCCAAATCTCCCTTAAATCCACCCAAATCCTCCCAATTTCCCCCAAATCGCCTCAGAACTCCCCCAAATCCCCCCAAATTCTGCATAACTTCCCCAAAATCCCCATAACTCCCCCCAAACCTCCCAATTTCCCCCATATCTCCCCCAAAATCCCCACATCTCCTCCAAACTCCCAAAAATTCCCCAAGAATTCCCCCAAATCCCTCCAAACTCCCCAGAACTCCCCCCAAAATCCTGGCCCACCCTTGAGGCAGACGTCCAGGGGCACCCTGGGCAGGGGGGTGTTGATGATGTCGCTCAGCTCCACACAAATCTCCCCCAAAATCCCCCCAGAAATCCCCCAAAACCACCACAAAATCCCCCAAAATCCCCTGAAATCACCCCAAAACCCCCCGAAATCCCCCCAAAATCCTCACCCACCCTTGAGGCAGACGTCCAGGGGCACCCTGGGCAGGGGGGTGTTGATGATGTCGCTCAGCTCCACCTCCTTCTCCTCGTAGAAGTAGAGCTCGCGCCCGCCGCCGCTGGCGAAGCGGAACGGGATGAACTCCTGGGCGTGGAACCCGTACAGGGGCTGGGAAAGGGAAAAAAATGGGATTTTCCTGGGTTTTCTGGGAGTTTCCTGCAGTTCTGGGGCAGTTTCATGGAGTTCTGGGGGAGTTTCCTGGATTTTGGGGGATTTTCCTTGATTTCAGCTAGATTTTCCCTGGATTTTGTGGAGATTTCCCTCA